AACGACTTTACTGCCTTTAGCAGGCTTTGTTTGTTTGCTACTTTTGTTGTTGTTGTTTTTTGGTTTGTTAGGCTGCTTGCTTGTTTGTTTATTTGTTTGTTTATTTTTATGTCTGAGCAGGAAAAATCTCGACTCTGTAATTGTCATTTAATGCAAGGATAAAGCAAGAAGAATAGACAGAAACAACACAAGGAAAGAAAAGAGAAAGAACCTACTTGTGACACTCACCCACTACCAGCTCTGCGGCCCTGCACATTTCCTAATTAATTTACCACGCTGTCTCAGTACCTTGAGAGACACCCAGTACAGTAGCCTACAGGGGCTCAAATATAATAAGTCATAATTTCTGTTTCTGCCAATTGCAAACAGTTTGTCATATTTTATGGAACATTTCTAGCCAGCAGTTTTGGGGGAATATTTACACGTACATGTATATTATACATAGTTGTTTTTTTTTAAATTGCACACCGGTTTGCACGGGCTTTACTAGCCCCACTGAAGGACGAATGGTTATAAACGATTATATAACTATCATTATGACCATTTCTATCCATTGATAGAAAACTCACACTACTTCATATTGACTACAGTTTACCTTCCCATTTCCTACCCACCCCACGAGAAACAAACTTCAATGCAGAGTGTTACGGAAAAATCCCGCGAACAGTCGATGCAGAAAAAAAAGCACGCAAGCTGCCACACCCACCAGTGGAATTGAAGCTTCTGAATGCTCAAAATGGCGCAAACCTATCTCTGCCAGAATTGGTCTCATTGGCCACAGTGGAAGCCCCAAGCCATCTTAAGCTTTGAGTCTTCTATTTCGCTTTTCTTAAATGTATACATGAGTTGCATGTACTCCTGTACAGGTGCACTGGCCATCGTCGGACCTTGTAGGATCAACTATTATTATCAATACAGACAAAGTTTGGCCCCCGATACCCCCCGCGTTTCTCCAAACAACTTTTTTTAGTCTCTCAAGAACTGGAGAAGTTTTATGCACCAAACCTTAATGGGTAAAAAGTTGTTCGAATGACAATCTGTTCAAAAATTCATTTCTCTTTAAATTCAATAACTGATGTTTTTGCATCATGACGTCATAATGTAGAGGGTGTTCGAGCTGTTCAAATCCTAAAAGCCCAAAATTAGAGAATAAAAAATATTCTAAAAAATTATTGCAGTTTCTTACTCTGTGGTTTTAGTTGCATATACGTCGTACTCATGAAATTTAAATGTTGAGGGAAAAAGACAACCAAATCAGACGCATAGGCCTAAAGCTGGTAGGCCTACAATTGTTAGAAGATTTTTTTTTCTCTTCCCTGAAAAAAATGTGCTTTCTGGGCGTAGAACAGTTGAACAGCTTGGCATCGATAAAGACAGCAAAAGAGGCAAAAAATGAGACGTTCCCTCTCTGTACATGAACAGAATTTAGTCATTAGGAAATCGCGAAAATTCCCTGGGTTTTTTTGTGGGTTTTTTTTAAATTTTAAACATCTTTAGAATAGGAGCCAAAAAGGATCAACTGCAAACCATTATGTATGTCATTGATCCAACTTTCTCTTTGATCTACCGATCGAGGGTCTACTAATCTTGTCAATGACATACCTCAACGATTTCAATAATGGGGGATCTTTTCCTAAAGGGCCTATTTGTGTCTAATAAGGGTTAAAGTTGCGCAAAAGCAAGCTAGTTGGTGCGGCGTCGCAAACTTGTAGAGAAAACAATCATGTTACTGGCTGGTCAAACACTGTGGGGACAGTGAAGGGCGTATGTACAGAACTTGATCACATTCCTCTTTTTTTTTTGTTGCTATTGTTGCTGTTGTTGTTGTTTTGTTTTGGG